ACCTAAATCCATGCGTAACATTTGGTATGGCGATTCATACATACCTCACCTCCCGGATTTGATGGCTCATGAGTGGAGAAAAAAATACATTACCAATTACCAGAAACGAATCACTTGTTCTCCCATCATAAAGCGATATACACTGGCATGGTCTCATCGACGCTTAGTAAAGCCTGAGCGCTGCATACAGAAGAGGTTGACCGAATATCAGCCCAACATTTAGTTTAAAAACAGACTTCAAGAAAATACGCACCCGACGAAGTTGAGTGAGCGGTAATTGATAAAGGTAGGTTACCCAGTACTATGAAGCACTAGGGAAAGGACTGTGATTCCATACAAGGTAGGACAGAACTTGTTAGACTATTCGTGCTCCGTATGTCAGTCGATCTACTTTCTTGGAGGGCACTTTTCGCACAGCCATGCGGAGGATGGAGACGAGCCACGGGAAGTGAAACAATCACTTGGCAATAAAGTAAGTAAACATGGTTGCGCTATTCCTTGTCGTCTGTCTGGATGAGAACCCCAAAACGGGACATATCGATGGCTGGACACATTGTTAGACGGGGCCAAGTTGCGCACTCAGTGAATCTGGAGCAACCAAGCTGTTTCCCTCAATGTATAGCTCTTCTCCTTGAACTTCTTGATGAAAGGTCTACTAACAACCCCGTATTTCCGCATCAGTTTTTTCAACCACCCCCTCCAATGCCCATAGGAGGCAATAGCTATCTACTCCATCACCCCAAATTATCGTCGAACGCGACTGTAGCCTCTATAACACGGTAGAGCACCTTGTCGTCTGTCTGGATGAGAACCCCAAAACGGGACATATCGATGGCTGGACACATTGTTAGACGGGGCCAAGTTGCGCACTCAGTGAATCTGGAGCAACCAAGCTGTTTCCCTCAATGTATAGCTCTTCTCCTTGAACTTCTTGATGAAAGGTCTACTAACAACCCCGTATTTCCGCATCAGTTTTTTCAACCACCGCCTCCAATGCCCATAGGAGGCAATAGCTATCTACTCCATCACCCCAAATTATCGTCGAACGCGACTGTAGCCTCTATAACAACGGTAGAGCATGTATGTGGTTTTTACAGTTGATGATGATGTTTCATAGGATGCTTAACTTCACAGACGTTTCTGAAAGTATATACTAATTATTCGTTTATTTGATAGGTCGCTGCCAATTTTTGAGGACCAGAAAGCCCGACATAAAATCAAATGCAACGACCAGCATTAGACCTTTAGGCGCTCTAACCACTTCGGCCATCTCGCACGGGGCATGAGGTACATTTAAATAATGATGACTTGAAGCGGGGGTCTACAGTTCACACCACTTCGACCGAGGGCACCGGCAGTGGATATATCGAGGCCTCCTAGCTTGAACAGTGATTTTACGCCACCTAAGTCGATACGTGCCGTTGCGCAATTGCGACTCAACAGGAGTTATTAACAAGACGGATTTGTGGTCTCGGAAAGATTTCGTAAACACTCGGTGTTTTTTGGCTGAATAACATTTCTCTTTGACCCATCGAACGTAAGGCTTGGGCACCCACATTAACTGACAAGAACTTCAACTGACATTCTGATCTAACTGGAATAGCTCATTGGTTTTTCATCCATCTTAAAACTCGGCCAAACTAGTGATCCACTTACTTGGCCCGACGGAGTTTTGTATCAGAAGCAATTGTTTAACGAGCCATTCTGGAACGATAACTTCTGATTCGATTCGGAAAACCTATCACTTTAATAAAAATTTATGCATATATCCATTAGGTAGACCAAGCCTGAAGTCTCACGAACCTCTACCCGCAAACCTACCTACCATAGTGCTAACTCATCCACACAGACCACCAAAATTGTGAACGACATTCAATTCAAGCTACATAAACTAGAATCTCTGGAGACCGAAACACGACCAAAGTTTGCAAGCGATTCACACTAATCTTTCTGCATAACTCTTACTCACCCACACAAACTGAAAAAATAAAACACCCCACCGATGACCCATAGAACTGATTAAGCTTACAACCAAAAAGATGCATGCGTTCTCCGTCTAACACAAGGCTCAACAAACCCTCCAACCCAGTCACTTGGCCGGAGGAAACCTTTGTGTCAAAAGCGAAATACTGGCCAGTAACAAATGTAACTGTTGTTCCTAAAACTCTTCATGACTTATTGCAAGCGTCCTCCGATTGATCGAAACTGAACGTTCCATGAAATGTGGCTGTCACCTTTTTGGACTTAACTCAGCTTATCGTCATTTGTGCTTCTAAATCATACTACTCATCATATGGTAGTAGGCAGATCATACCGTCGTGCGCAACGAGCCACGAAATAGCCACTGATGGGCGCGGACAATTTTATGGCGGACCATATCTGTCTCCTACCCCTCAGTCAACTAATTTATAGGTTGTGGGATAACTGCAACTACCAGCTTGCAAATGTGCCTAGGATTACAAGCTAGCGGACAGAACATTCAATATAGTCCGGCAAACTGAAACCCGTGATTGCTACCTCGTGGTCGGTTGTTAGTCTCTTACAATTGAAAATTAGACTCAGCAAGTTATGGAGGACCGTGGAGGCATCATGATGACAATCTGTAGGCAACACCGTCTTTCCAGAAGTAAACTACTACTCCTAAGGTTGTTGAAAACTTCAACAGCCGACAGCCGGTTACGCCCTGGTTGGAATTCGTCAAGTGGGCACATCACCCGAGTTTCCGTCAACCTTATGTTCTACCTGAACCCAAATCAAATAGATTTGGACAAATACTCTCATTCGCTCATGAATTTGGTTTTGACAGGAGACTGAACCGAATCCAGCTTAATCTCTCGTTTGCGATGATCTGCCTCAACTAAATGGTTCAGCTGAGTCTACTGCCCAAACCAACTTTGTGTGCCAATGAGTACTCGTACAACGGACCAAGCAGCTTTGGGGGGACTGTTTTGATTGGTCTCATGAAGATTCACATTTAAGAGGAGTCAAGACTCGTCGGGAAGTCGGGTAGGCCCGAAATCCAGCTGACTTTTCTGTAATGCTACTTTCCCTAGGGAATCTGAGGAAATTCATGGCATAATAATCCCTGGAGGGAATGGCCGACAGAAGCGTGTTCTAAAATATATCGACTAAGTTTCTGGAGATAATCTGTGCATAGCCCCCCCCCAATCAGAAAGCACCAACGACCCACCTCAAGGATAGCTTTAATTCAACGTGGGTTTGTCGTTAAAACTTTCACAGGGGGGATTGGATACCTTACCGATATGGATGGCCTAAATGAACACCCCCGCTGGTGATATAGAAGTCCGATGTGAAGGTAAATGCTAATACTTAATCTCACGTATAATTGGCTATACCTGGTAACCTTATAGCTGAGTGAATCTTAGTAGCTTAACTGCAGTTACTTTAACAAGGGCACCCTGTTTGGTCCTCGAACCGAAGTGGGCAGATCAAGACTTGGTCACGTGACGGGCTGCATGCCGGATTAAAAGTGTTTATGAGGATCCTTACAAGGACCAGGCACCATTGCCTGGTGCGGGCCTCGAGTGAAGCTTTAATTTCATTTAATTTTCTATTGTTTTACTTGTAAAGCACTTTTCCGTGTCAAATCGAATTGGACTAATGTGAGGAAAAGGTCATTGAATTATCCTTCTCCGCCAAGACCCAACCGGGTGAAAACGTATCCTTTTTGGAAGTGTGTCCGTTCCGAAAGATGAGATGAAACTTAGTCTCGAAGCTTTATTAATTCCGTATTCTGGGTATGACACTAAGATTAACTTACCGTCTGAAGACCAGTGTTCCACCCGCACCCAACAGTTTCCACTTAACGGTGGAGTTTATTTCCCTGTCTACGCTGACAAAACTGGAAGAGTTATCCATTGAAAACAAAAGAGAGTGTTCACATATCTCCAAAAGTTCATTGTCCTATAAGTATTGATTTGTCTAGCAGTTGTCTGCATTTCATCAAATAAAGCGAAGAAATCAAACTGAGGGAGTTGCTCTACCTGTTCCCAAGCTTCATCAATAATGATCGGTATCGTAGTTTTCTGCGCAGCAGAAATCACGGGCTTCTCACTGATTCGTAGCGATATGGTAGTCTTAGCCCGTACAAGTAATACGTATTAGAAACTCACAGGTGATTCCACTCGAGAATGATGAGTGCATGCCCTCCTCACGGAAGTCCGCCACGGTAGACCCCACCAATAATGAACGGCCTTAATTAAGGGTGCTTATGGCTTCCTTGAGCTTCGAGACAGGAGTTCCCCCTGTATGCTAATTGGGGCTTAGACTGCATACTGTACTGTGAGTTCCTGTTTAAAGTATCCACCATGTGACGAATCTATCCAGTGTGCAATTGCTCCTTGATATAGGAAGCGGTTGGTATGACCAACCACTACCATTCTCAACTGGACCGGTTATCACTGAGAGAAGCCCTAAAAAACATAGATCTGTCCTATCTTTGGATGGCGAACTTTTCGAATGAAATCATGTAGCTCGTCAGTACGGGTTACGAAACACCATCACCACAACGCCCTCTTTGGAGTGGAAGATACAGGTTTACAGGATACTTGTGATTGTAGTCCTGTAGTGAATAGTGCTCTATAGAATATTCTTCCTCAGTCCTACTGTGAGCATAAGTTTCTGACACATTTTTGTAGAAGGCGATGAAGCTGGGAATCGGATGGGTCGACTTCATAGCCATCAATAACTGGTTCGTATTACTCAAACCTCTCATAGCATTTGTGCCCAAATGTTTTGGTGGTGCGATACGACACCGCAGAGAGCGTGACTGCAGCTCACTTTTTTGGATCTGTTGTCGGGACTAAATAAATCGACTCTTTTGGATAACCGTAAACCAGACATTGTGGGAGTGGAAGATACAGGTTTACAGGATACTTGTGATTGTAGTCCTGTAGTGAATAGTGCTCTATAGAATATTCTTCCTCAGTCCTACTGTGAGCATAAGTTTCTGACACATTTTTGTAGAAGGCGATGAAGCTGGGAATCGGATGGGTCGACTTCATAGCCATCAATAACTGGTTCGTATTACTCAAACCTCTCATAGCATTTGTGCCCAAATGTTTTGGTGGTGCGATACGACACCGCAGAGAGCGTGACTGCAGCTCACTTTTTTGGATCTGTTGTCGGGACTAAATAAATCGACTCTTTTGGATAACCGTAAACCCAGACATTGTGTGGAAGGGCGGGGAGGGTTGGCGAAGCGAGCTCCCCGAATGCACAGTGAAATTACTAGGCTTTTAAGGAATACGGTCATGTCGGAGACTTATTACAAAGTACACAAGTGTGGCTTAGTCCGATCACTGACAATCACTGACTAAATCTACACATTCATCCATGAACAGATAGTCTTTCTACGTGTGCGTTTATACATGTGGCTACGGTTCGGTTGAGTCCCCATTCTCTCTCCGCTAACGGGTAGGTTGAGCATTCAGCTGCACTTTAATCACTCAGACAGTCCGGTCATAGAGTACGATGTACAACCGACTACTTGAATCATGAAAAGAATCAACAGGGACGAAATACTCTCAGGTTTATGAAGCTCAGACAGGCATCCAAAAAGCCAAGATTGGATTGGAACTGTGAACTTTCCGCTCAGCAGTTTCACACCGTGACCACTTGGCTATCCCGAACTTGACATATTGATCTCATTAGGTCGAAATAACTTTGACTACTTGCATGCATTGAACGCGCAAGAACCTCCCCTCTCCTAGGAGGGAGACCTCGCAATTAGGGACACTTTCTTCAGGTGACTAAAAAACCAGTTTTAAACAAGCGTTCTATTAAAACAACGGCACTCCGCCTACCTAAATTAACTGAAAAATTCTTGCTGATGACGAGACTCTTGTGTGGCAGGGACAGAGGCACACAAACAGAGGGTTAGTTTATGTTCTTCGCGCAGCACAGGAAGCCTTAACCCACAGTTAGATGTTGCCTGACTTACAATTCCAGTATCCCTATCACTGAGGCAACGTGGTGAAATTGGAAATGTGCTTAGACCAAAAAAGTATTCACTGATCAGCGTCACACTCTCATTGGCTCGGTGTTTTTCAGGTCCTTTCATACATAGGAAACAGGAGAATATCTCTCCGAGTGCACCCAATTATTCAAATGTATCAGCGAATTCGCCACAATGACCCAGCTAAAAAGTCGTCCTGACTGGACTGTCATCTATCGAAAATAATACACCCTTTTTCAGCCATTGCTGAGACAATTTCTGACCGCATCTACGTCATCAGCAGTGTGGCAGCGTAACCGTGTTAACTGGACTCCATAGTTGGAGGCAATAGCATCATGCGTTCACTTCTTTTTACGCGTCAAACACTTTCTGTTTGTAGGTAATCGCAAGTTTGTCCTTTTCTCCACCTTCCCCGGAATAATACCCTATGAAACTCTCCCATACCACATACCTTATCACCACCTTCTAGCTTCCGAAGACTCGACTTAGTACATCCCTGTGGAACCCATTGTGACTTTGGTTTGATTACCTGATGAGTTTGATCACGTGACTCCTTTTCCCGTAAACCGCTTTATTGTGTTATAAAAAGCTAGGGTGCACAGGTCACGGGAAACCGCTTGGCGTAAGAAAAATATAGTGGCAAAAGGCAAAGAAGTACGCGTATAAAACGAATAGAAAAGATATGGTTCTGATTGTCGAAACAGGACGAGGCCAAAGTCTTGCTGCGTTAAATCACAGTAGTGCCGTCCGAAGCGGAGCCCACACGGGACCAGGGTCGAAAAGAACCGCGCGAGTCGCTGTAGAAATGATTGAAATCCAGACGTAGTAACAACTGGCTTAGATCGGCTCTAGGACCTGCGGGCTGATCGTATCGCTTGGTACCAACTTCTTCCAGACCAACACTGCTCTTTGCCCCTGTGGATTCGGAACTACTCAAACACTGGAAAAGAGCTGAGGAGACCTGATGAAAGTCATAGACAAGCCGATCCTCTGTTTCAGACAACTGTGATCCCGAATTGTCAGTCATTGCTGCGGCGGCTGCAGCGGCCAGTACAAAACGTCTGCAAACGGAAAGCAACTGCATGATGCATGGCTTGGCAGCGGGATGAAAGAGGAGCGCTTGTGCTTGCAGACCGGCCAAAAATGCTTCATGAGCGGCGAGGACGGAGTCGATATCTTCGTCTGTCTCGATCCGGTTGGACAAATATGAAAACTGAGAATCGATAACATCAATCTGGGTTGTGAAGCAAAAAAGAATGAGTATTCAGGTGCGTTAGACTGTAGAAAAAATCAGACTAGATCTCATTGCGAAAATCAGCTGAATGAATGGTTTATGTGCAACAGATTCCGTTAGAGAAGAACAGCATAAAGGAGAGATTCAACTGGGATTCACTTAGAACTAAATTGGTTTACACATGTGGGTATCACAAAAAGTGTTATTCCCTGAAGGATGCTGCTCCATTCACGTTGGCAACGCGTAAAGGTGAATCCAGTCGACAAGATGAAGTTGATTGTGAGTCTAGCGTGTCACATGTGATGCAGACCTGTCAGATGGAATTTTCTCGCACATTTTCAACACATCACTTGAATTAAACTGTTTTATGTGTACTATACGCAGGTGGCCAGCGGTGCTGTCACTATTGATCAACAGATCAGTTTTCAGTGTCAGTCGGTTCTTAGGGAAAAGGCGTGTTGTCCGCTGCGAGAGGTATGGAAAGAGTTAGCTGTTTCCATCGAGCAACAAGCGTCTGCATATTTACGGAGGTGCCGAGGCTAATTGTCCCCGAGAAGGACGGGTTTGGATAGTAGGTTTTACAGACGGTTGATTGTGACCGGCGTCAGAAACCTTTCAAGAGCGAAGAGTTTGGTGTGGTCTAAATCGCACTTTTCATGCGCGGTACCATCAGGAGTCAGTTCGCTTCTACAGTGTCCAGTCAGGTCAGACCTCACTTATCGAATGCTTTGTAGATCGGGTGTTAGCAGTAGTTGCCACAGTGATCAGCACTCATGCCCCATGTTAAATTCAGGTTGAGAAGGTAATGAATTCTACGGTCAGCTATCGGATCTTACAACGTCTGTCTGCATCTTCAACTGAAGTGAGTGGTGAGAGCTCGGAAACATCCTGACCCCATGGTATCGGATCAGTGAACATCAAAGGTGAAAGGTGATTGATGATGTCCGCAGCATTGGGACTTTCAATGTGGCAAGCAGGAAAACGACAACAAATGTTCGGTGTCTAACAGGCAGTGCGATTCTCATGCTTGTAGTCCGGGACAAGTTAGCCGACACATATCACTGTATCACCAGACGCTTTCCGCTGTCTTCTCAACTGGAGTCCACAAAGAAGCTAGATCATCAGTTGGTGATCGAGGGAAGCAGAGGTCGGGTTCGAACCCGACTTTATCTCTCGACTCACCTTATCTAGGTTTGAGCAACCTGGCATCATTCCATTTCTCGTGCTTCCTTCGGGCGGCATGACAGCTAAGCACCGAAAGGTGTTATAGGTGAACGATTATTTATATATATTCGCCATATCTTATGGCAGAAACTTGTCGGGTCGCCAAAATGAATTTCTGCACGAGCGATAAACCAGTGGAATTAGACGAAAACCATAAAATCGAGACATGCTATGGAAAAGACAGTTATTGTCAACTTACTTGCAAGAAACACTGCAAGCTTTCCACGAAAAAGGCCATCGCGTTGCGCACCAGTAAACGTCGATCAATATTAGACTGTCGCTCAAGAGAGCTCATCTGGTTTTTCTCATTAGGGTTATCTTTGTGCGGCAGAATATGAGAAAATTGCTGTCGGGCGCAAATACATCGCCACAACGATGTCTGTTCGGCCCAGTAATGTTGTAATGCTATTTGAGTCCGTCTTATCGTAGCCAGGTAACGAAAAAGTTTGTCGTAACCGCGACAAACATGCTTGGAGAAGACCATTCGCAAAGCTTGTGGTACCATAAGCTGAAGGTGTAAACGATCCCATGCCGTTTGCTCCTCGGCGGGAACGCCGTCCGCATCGCTTGGATCTGCAGATATGGTAAACCTAGGATTGGGCGAAATGAAAAACCGGATAAATAAAGCCAACCAAGCACCATATATAAGGCATTAAAACATGAAGCACAAACTCTGAAATCAATGCTATTAGCTGTAGAAGCTCGTTCTCATCAGGACTACCAACATGTGTGTTCTGAGGCCGCCACAGCACACCTAGCATAGGAGCTGATGTAGAGAAGACGCTAAATTACCGTTGGATGTTTCAAATTCCATGATGACGGGTACGGTGTGCAATACAGTCTGATCCGTGAGATTCTACACTAGAATACAACTTGCTCGACATGGATGGAGCAAGTTTATAATAACTTCCATCTTCGGGATTCATACAGTAGCCTAGTCTGTCATATCACAAGCATCACAACGAACTTCAAGTTGTGGTATGTTACAAGCCATAGTTTTTCTGGTCAATAATGAATGGAGTTTGTACGAAAAGGTACGAAACGGATGTGACAGTCAGAATTAGTACTCGTAAGTAATGATCGAATGTCACTAACAATTTCTATCAACGGTGAGCGGGGTAAGATTTATTGGCTACATATTAACGTAAATACTGGGTTGGAAGCTCGTTACATTGGACTTAGGACGAACGCCGTATACTGTGTATCCCTGAAAGACAAAATGATTCCTCACTTTCTACACTGTCTTTCAGCTTCCTAAAACTTACAACCATTGAGTGTTCTACTTTATGAGAAATAATCCTAGGTGAGACTGAGTTGATTCCAATACTGTGCCGGGTGGCTGTCGACTCTAAGAGACCAACAGCAGCATCCACGCAGTGTCGAGGAACCTTATTCTCAGCATGGAATTCCAAGGCAATCAAAACCTTTTCCGTAGCTCACCCACCCACCAGCACCACCACACAAGGTGAGAGAAACAATGAAAGCCTCTACCCGCCTATTCTCTCGTCAAGTGTCTGATTACCTTATCCGGACCCTACCATCTTGCAGTGACACAGCGGAGTGTGCTAAACTAATTCCAGATATAGCCAATCAACAGTCAATCATTCAGCTGTAACACTTTTGGTGCCTAGCTGCCATGCCACTTGAAGGAGGTATAAGGGACGATGTATTGCCAGGTTGTCCAAGCCTAGACAGGAACAGTCGAGGTGCTGAAATTCGGTTCGAACCAAGAACCTTCCAATCAGTAAGTTCGAGCTACCTTGAGGTCAAGCGTAAAAAGGACACGTAGTGGCGAAGTGTTCACTGTTTTCGCTAGAAGGGTTCTGAGGGAAAAGCAATAAAACAAGACGTTACTGATCTGGAGGGATAGCCATTGTAGAGGCTTCAGACATGCCATCAGGCATAAAAGACCAAAGGAGGGTTGCTATTGGAACAACAAGTGACTAGGAAACGGAGTGACACTAACTTGAATCTAGCATCCAGCTCATCATCATCCAAGCCGATGGCTCGCGCCGCAGCAAGAAAGGCTGTTTGCACATCGTACTCCAGTGCCTGGGCTTCATCTGCGTTCCTAGGTGGTGGGCGATCAAGAACACCTCGGCAGAACAAAGGTTTGATACCTCCGATTGGTACAGTGTCGCCTGTATTGGCCAGCGGATCTAAGTCACTCAACGAGTTCAATTGGTCCACAAAAGCCAAAAACAGCTCCCCACGACCAAGTAAGGCCACTTCTTTGACCGAAACTAAGTATTTCGTCAAGCCATGTTCCTTAACCAAAAGTTGCCAAACCCGATGCGATACAAAAGTGCGAATATCAGTTACCAGAGATAAGAGTGGATTCAAATCAATCAGACTCTCAATTCCTGCCTGTTCATCCTCGTTTCCAGCAGATTTGGAAACTAGCTCCCAAACTTTGGATAATTCCGTAAACCGCGGGCCAAATCGTTGTTCTAATTCGCTAAGGAAATCGGGTTGTGAATTGTCCCTAATCGTATGGTTGATGGCTTCTCCCACAGACAACACATGTGTGGCAAAAGAAGCGGGAAGAAATGAAGGAATGCGGTCCACAACCAATGTGAACGAGTTGGAATCACGAAACTGAAACTGGTCATCTGTCGAAGAAGGCTTGAGGGCATCTTCCCTAACTCGAGTGCTGCACTGCACAAAGAACTCATCATGAGGATCATGTAGTCTACCATAAACGAGCCAAGAGTGAAGTTGTCGGCAGAATATACGCATGGCACGGGCTACAAGTTGACGAACAGCCAACCGAGGACCAGGCAGTCCAACTGGAGCTGAGAGAACTAGAATATCTAGTAACCTACAGCCCAGACGATGTTGGACAGCCTTTTCTTTTTCGTTAAGACTTTCGATTTTTTGGGCAAGGTCGGCCAGGAATGGTAGGAGCAACTTGTAGGAATGAAGGCGATAGGCGAAATGAGCAACACTTAGATCCGGATTGGAGAGCACTTCGGATTCCAAGCGAACCAAGGACTGACGATAGGCTGCGAGAGCATCATCTAGCCCACAGGCGAGGGCAGAAAAGTAAAGACTATAGTGTGGCCCGGCATGACGCCGGATGAAATGTTCCAAGTGTCTATAACAACTTCCGAGTTTTAAAAGGTCTAATTGTAGGGACAGCTCGCCCTGTGAAACGAAGGGTAGATTTTCTGAGACCGGTACCAACTCTGTCTCGACAACGAAGGCATGCGAATCCTCAGCAGTCGGTGAAGATGTTTCAACGAATAGAGCCCCTGGAACGCCATAGAGTGCTAATAACAACTCCTGTAACATTTGGTGCACGACGCCAAAGAAAAGCCTGAAAAAGACACGAAAAAATATGTGAGCTAACGTTTCAAACTTGAGTGTTTGCTGCGCTGAACAAAAACGTTCGGCCTGTTTTTTGGGTGTACCCGCTGCGCATCCCGCGGACTGATATATCATTAGTTTGCCCAGGCTAAGACACAAATGAGCAAGAGGCTAGTGGTGAGCTTAAACCATCGTTGTTGAGAACAGTGAGCTAAGCCTGAACCATTCACATACACAACATCTACACTACCCTCTTTTTTAAACGAACTGTCTCGAAAGGAACATACTGCAACCATAAATTTTTCACTGTGATAACAGTGGAGCAACTAGTCTCAATTATTCAAATTTAACGACCAGTAGACGATTCATTGATGTTGATAGCTTCAACCGTTCGTTAATGCAAAGCCTATTAAATTGGTCGTTCGACCTTGTATCATCTCCGTGAATGAAAGCGCCCCGATCTGAACTGTGGCACTGAGACCCACTTAGCTACACTGGGTCGGTCCACGTGAAATCCGCAGTGTCATGCCAAGTCGGTTCGTGAGTGGATGCACAGCACAATCTCTTGGGGTTTCGGGTCGAGAATCGGAACATATGTGCCGAACTGCCCCTTAAGATTCGGATCACCTCGAGGGCCGCATATGAACCATTACTTCTTGAGTCAGAAGATTCGGCTGAGGACCCCACTAGTCTTCATGGTTGGGTTTCGGAGGGCTATGGTATAACAAAAGACACGGCAGTCTGAGACAAACTTTCAGGGAAACAAAGTAAAAACATTACAAGTGAATTCATAGGTTTTTCATGGAGTGATCCACAAGAATCCGCTAATATTTTCGTGATGGGACGAGAAGCGCCGAGCTAGAAATGCTCGATCCTCATCGGTTTACATCCTGACTAATCAGTGCGTGCCTTCACCCAAGACGGAACCGATTCGAGACGCACCCGGTCAATCGACGTGATGTTCATTTAGTTGGAGCGACTCAACGTCGGATGGAAAGGGAATACCAGAAACTTAGACTTTTTCTGGCGAGCAAGAGTTTCGTCTAATACGTTATCCCTTATGAACGCGCTATACGCGGATGCTGTGAAAACAACCCATAAGACGGAGTCCTCCACCGAAGTTCATCACGTCCTGTGATGTAAGACAAGGTTGTCCTTCCTCATCACTCCTCTCCGAACTTTTTAGGGACGTGCTGCTTTGAATTTCCCTGACTGCTAAAGAAACCTCGGAGAACCGAAAATCTCCAGGGACTTTTCCTCACGGAGAGTGAGTATGGAGAATATTTTGTTCTACTGACCCCTCAAAGATGCTATTCATTTTAAATAGTCTAAAGGATTCTGCCGCACGCTCCGGTATGGGCTTCGCTTTGCAAAAATTAAGTGCTGCTACAACGATGTATGAAAGCACCAACCACTAAACTTAGTCGGGTTAACCACTGCCACCTCCCTGGATAAACAACCCGGGACTCAACTCACTTGTAGTTAATGAGGCAGAAATGGTTCAAAAAACAGTCTATGGTGCTCGTGTATCAAGGCAATCACCTTCAATGCATTGCTGCCCATTTGCAAACTAACTTATCAGGTCACCGCCCCATACGCTTGACCGTATTTCCCACTCTCACTTTTTGGCGATCTAATCTGTGGAACCTGGGACGAACTTCCACCTAATACTAGCCTTATGACTCATAAATTTACAGACAGCCTCAAAATTCCGTTCCGAAAATACGCAATCTACCTGTGAAAATAACGCCACATGACACCTTAGGTAGCACAGCTAACGGGAACATATCACCAGGGTTCTCACAGTACGCATGTGCCACATTATTAAGAGTCTGGATATCGGAAGCGCCCAATCCAATATGATTCTGTTTTGGTCCCAAAACTTCCTTAAAATCGTCGTTTTCATCGAGAGCGTAACATGGGTTTTCAACATGACGCTCCGAAGCGGTACAATTATAACTTGTTTGAAAGCTTTGTTGTGAAGAAAAGAAAAAAGGTGAACCAGAGAGGGAATTCATCATCATCACTGACCGTATGGCATCGGTGGTCAACAATGATGCTTCGCCGCCGTATAACCATGATTTGTTTGAAAGCCATATGGTGGAGGAAAGGATAAAAGTTCATGGTGAAGGGACTAAGTGCTAGCCTACCAGTCACTCCGAGGTGCCTCCACCTCCAGATACTCACTCAGGCAATCTAGATAGAAGCCTACAAAAATAACGTAATTGACATCGATTAACAGCCTTTTATATCTAACTACTGTCCCGCTCACCAGAAAACAACCGAGTGTGAAAGCAACGACCGCCTCGCGCTATTTAAAGGGCATCTTTTGATATGGGTCTAGGCTGCCTGATCCACGTTTTGTGGACATCCATCAATATCGACCGTGCCTGAACACTCACCGGCTTTTGCTGAACTGATTGAGTGGTCGAGTGACCTGGATGCTTGCCGGCTTCCTTTATGGGATTTCGGTAGAGTTTTAAGGTCTCAGTAGGTTTCTGAAATTCTGGAGTTATTTTCAGAAAGCTGGCCCTACTGATAGCCATATGGTGCAGCATCCCTAACCAGGCGCAGTGGGGATCATACGATCCTCACCCTGGAAACCGAACAGCACCGACAACACTCACACGATAAACGATCCCATGCCGTTTGCTCCTCGGCGGGAACGCCGTCCACATCGCTTGGATCTGCAGATATGGTAAACCTAGGATTGGGCGAAATGAAAAACCGGATAAATAAAGCCAACCAAGCACCATATATAAGGCATTAAAACATGAAGCACAAACTCTGAAATCAATGCTATTAGCTGTAGAAGCTCGTTCTCATCAGGACTACCAACATGTGTGTTCTGAGGCCGCCACAGCACACCTAGCATAGGAGCTGATGTAGAGAAGACGCTAAATTACCGTTGGATGTTTCAAATTCCATGATGACGGGTACGGTGTGCAATACAGTCTGATCCGTGAGATTCTACACTAGAATACAACTTGCTCGACATGGATGGAGCAAGTTTATAATAACTTCCATCTTCGGGATTCATACAGTAGCCTAGTCTGTCATATCACAAGCATCACAACGAACTTCAAGTTGTGGTATGTTACAAGCCATAGTTTTTCTGGTCAATAATGAATGGAGTTTGTACGAAAAGGTACGAAACGGATGTGACAGTCAGAATTAGTACTCGTAAGTAATGATCGAATGTCACTAACAATTTCTATCAACGGTGAGCGGGGTAAGATTTATTGGCTACATATTAACGTAAATACTGGGTTGGAAGCTCGTTACATTGGACTTAGGACGAACGCCGTATACTGTGTATCCCTGAAAGACAAAATGATTCCTCACTTTCTACACTGTCTTTCAGCTTCCTAAAACTTACAACCATTGAGTGTTCTACTTTATGAGAAATAATCCTAGGTGAGACTGAGTTGATTCCAATACTGTGCCGGGTGGCTGTCGACTCTAAGAGACCAACAGCAGCATCCACGCAGTGTCGAGGAACCTTATTCTCAGCATGGAATTCCAAGGCAATCAAAACCTTTTCCGTAGCTCACCCACCCACCAGCACCACCACACAAGGTGAGAGAAACAATGAAAGCCTCTACCCGCCTATTCTCTCGTCAAGTGTCTGATTACCTTATCCGGACCCTACCATCTTGCAGTGACACAGCGGAGTGTGCTAAACTAATTCCAGATATAGCCAATCAACAGTCAATCATTCAGCTGTAACACTTTTGGTGCCTAGCTGCCATGCCACTTGAAGGAGGTATAAGGGACGATGTATTGCCAGGTTGTCCAAGCCTAGACAGGAACAGTCGAGGTGCTGAAATTCGGTTCGAACCAAGAACCTTCCAATCAGTAAGTTCGAGCTACCTTGAGGTCAAGCGTAAAAAGGACACGTAGTGGCGAAGTGTTCACTGTTTTCGCTAGAAGGGTTCTGAGGGAAAAGCAATAAAACAAGACGTTACTGATCTGGAGGGATAGCCATTGTAGAGGCTTCAGACATGCCATCAGGCATAAAAGACCAAAGGAGGGTTGCTATTGGAACAACAAGTGACTAGGAAACGGAGTGACACTAACTTGAATCTAGCATCCAGCTCATCATCATCCAAGCCGATGGCTCGCGCCGCAGCAAGAAAGGCTGTTTGCACATCGTACTCCAGTGCCTGGGCTTCATCTGCGTTCCTAGGTGGTGGGCGATCAAGAACACCTCGGCAGAACAAAGGTTTGATACCTCCGATTGGTACAGTGTCGCCTGTATTGGCCAGCGGATCTAAGTCACTCAACGAGTTCAATTGGTCCACAAAAGCCAAAAACAGCTCCCCACGACCAAGTAAGGCCACTTCTTTGACCGAAACTAAGTATTTCGTCAAGCCATGTTCCTTAACCAAAAGTTGCCAAACCCGATGCGATACAAAAGTGCGAATATCAGTTACCAGAGATAAGAGTGGATTCAAATCAATCAGACTCTCAATTCCTGCCTGTTCATCCTCGTTTCCAGCAGATTTGGAAACTAGCTCCCAAACTTTGGATAATTCCGTAAACCGCGGGCCAAATCGTTGTTCTAATTCGCTAAGGAAATCGGGTTGTGAATTGTCCCTAATCGTATGGTTGATGGCTTCTCCCACAGACAACACATGTGTGGCAAAAGAAGCGGGAAGAAATGAAGGAATGCGGTCCACAACCAATGTGAACGAGTTGGAATCACGAAACTGAAACTGGTCATCTGTCGAAGAAGGCTTGAGGGCATCTTCCCTAACTCGAGTGCTGCACTGCACAAAGAACTCATCATGAGGATCATGTAGTCTACCATAAACGAGCCAAGAGTGAAGTTGTCGGCAGAATATACGCATGGCACGGGCTACAAGTTGACGAACAGCCAACCGAGGACCAGGCAGTCCAACTGGAGCTGAGAGAACTAGAATATCTAGTAACCTACAGCCCAGACGATGTTGGACAGCCTTTTCTTTTTCGTTAAGACTTTCGATTTTTTGGGCAAGGTCGGCCAGGAATGGTAGGAGCAACTTGTAGGAATGAAGGCGATAGGCGAAATGAGCAACACTTAGATCCGGATTGGAGAGCACTTCGGATTCCAAGCGAACCAAGGACTGACGATAGGCTGCGAGAGCATCATCTAGCCCACAGGCGAGGGCAGAAAAGTAAAGACTATAGTGTGGCCCGGCATGACGCCGGATGAAATGTTCCAAGTGTCTATAACAACTTCCGAGTTTTAAAAGGTCTAATTGTAGGGACAGCTCGCCCTGTGAAACGAAGGGTAGATTTTCTGAGACCGGTACCAACTCTGTCTCGACAACGAAGGCATGCGAATCCTCAGCAGTCGGTGAAGATGTTTCAACGAATAGAGCCCCTGGAACGCCATAGAGTGCTAATAACAACTCCTGTAACATTTGGTGCACGACGCCAAAGAAAAGCCTGAAAAAGACACGAAAAAATATGTGAGCTAACGTTTCAAACTTGAGTGTTTGCTGCGCTGAACAAAAACGTTCGGCCTGTTTTTTGGGTGTACCCGCTGCGCATCCCGCGGACTGATATATCATTAGTTTGCCCAGGCTAAGACACAAATGAGCAAGAGGCTAGTGGTGAGCTTAAACCATCGTTGTTGAGAACAGTGAGCTAAGCCTGAACCATTCACATACACAACATCTACACTACCCTCTTTTTTAAACGAACTGTCTCGAAAGGAACATACTGCAACCATAAATTTTTCACTGTGATAACAGTGGAGCAACTAGTCTCAATTATTCAAATTTAACGACCAGTAGACGATTCATTGATGTTGATAGCTTCAACCGTTCGTTAATGCAAAGCCTATTAAATTGGTCGTTCGACCTTGTATCATCTCCGTGAATGAAAGCGCCCCGATCTGAACTGTGGCACTGAGACCCACTTAGCTACACTGGGTCGGTCCACGTGAAATCCGCAGTGTCATGCCAAGTCGGTTCGTGAGTGGATGCACAGCACAATCTCTTGGGGTTTCGGGTCGAGAATCGGAACATATGTGCCGAACTGCCCCTTAAGATTCGGATCACCTCGAGGGCCGCATATGAACCATTACTTCTTGAGTCAGAAGATTCGGCTGAGGACCCCACTAGTCTTCATGGTTGGGTTTCGGAGGGCTATGGTATAACAAAAGACACGGCAGTCTGAGACAAACTTTCAGGGAAACAAAGTAAAAACATTACAAGTGAATTCATAGGTTTTTCATGGAGTGATCCACAAGAATCCGCTAATATTTTCGTGATGGGACGAGAAGCGCCGAGCTAGAAATGCTCGATCCTCATCGGTTTACATCCTGACTAATCAGTGCGTGCCTTCACCCAAGACGGAACCGATTCGAGACGCACCCGGTCAATCGACGTGATGTTCATTTAGTTGGAGCGACTCAACGTCGGATGGAAAGGGAATACCAGAAACTTAGACTTTTTCTGGCGAGCAAGAGTTTCGTCTAATACGTTATCCCTTATGAACGCGCTATACGCGGATGCTGTGAAAACAACCCATAAGACGGAGTCCTCCACCGAAGTTCATCACGTCCTGTGATGTAAGACAAGGTTGTCCTTCCTCATCACTCCTCTCCGAACTTTTTAGGGACGTGCTGCTTTGAATTTCCCTGACTGCTAAAGAAACCTCGGAGAACCGAAAATCTCCAGGGACTTTTCCTCACGGAGAGTGAGTATGGAGAATATTTTGTTCTACTGACCCCTCAAAGATGCTATTCATTTTAAATAGTCTAAAGGATTCTGCCGCACGCTCCGGTATGGGCTTCGCTTTGCAAAAATTAAGTGCTGCTACAACGATGTATGAAAGCACCAACCACTAAACTTAGTCGGGTTAACCACTGCCACCTCCCTGGATAAACAACCCGGGACTCAACTCACTTGTAGTTAATGAGGCAGAAATGGTTCAAAAAACAGTCTATGGTGCTCGTGTATCAAGGCAATCACCTTCAATGCATTGCTGCCCATTTGCAAACTAACTTATCAGGTCACCGCCCCATACGCTTGACCGTATTTCCCACTCTCACTTTTTGGCGATCTAATCTGTGGAACCTGGGACGAACTTCCACCTAATACTAGCCTTATGACTCATAAATTTACAGACAGCCTCAAAATTCCGTTCCGAAAATACGCAATCTACCTGTGAAAATAACGCCACATGACACCTTAGGTAGCACAGCTAACGGGAACATATCACCAGGGTTCTCACAGTACGCATGTGCCACATTATTAAGAGTCTGGATATCGGAAGCGCCCAATCCAATATGATTCTGTTTTGGTCCCAAAACTTCCTTAAAATCGTCGTTTTCATCGAGAGCGTAACATGGGTTTTCAACATGACGCTCCGAAGCGGTACAATTATAACTTGTTTGAAAGCTTTGTTGTGAAGAAAAGAAAAAAGGTGAACCAGAGAGGGAATTCATCATCATCACTGACCGTATGGCATCGGTGGTCAACAATGATGCTTCGCCGCCGTATAACCATGATTTGTTTGAAAGCCATATGGTGGAGGAAAGGATAAAAGTTCATGGTGAAGGGACTAAGTGCTAGCCTACCAGTCACTCCGAGGTGCCTCCACCTCCAGATACTCACTCAGGCAATCTAGATAGAAGCCTACAAAAATAACGTAATTGACATCGATTAACAGCCTTTTATATCTAACTACTGTCCCGCTCACCAGAAAACAACCGAGTGTGAAAGCAACGACCGCCTCGCGCTATTTAAAGGGCATCTTTTGATATGGGTCTAGCTGATCCGATCCACGTTTTGTGGACATCCATCAATATCGACCGTGCCTGAACACTCACCGGCTTTTGCTGAACTGATTGAGTGGTGGCCTGGATGCTATGCTTGCCGGCTTCCTTTATGGGATTTCGGTAGAGTTTTAAGGTCTCAGTAGGTTTCTGAAATTCTGGAGTTATTTTCAGAAAGCTGGCCCTACTGATAGCCATATGGTGCAGCATCCCTAACCAGGCGCAGTGGGGATCATACGATCCTCACCCTGGAAACCGAACAGGACAACCAACACTCACACGATTCGTAATCTCTCTCATACCCCTCTGCCAGGTGAAGGGTTGGCTACCTCTCTGCTTCTGCCACTATTGCGCATGGATCATACCCCTCTGCCAGGTGAAGGGTTGGCTACCTCTCTGCTTCTGCCACTATGAGTTGCGCATGGAAAACAGAACTCTCTCCAGCAATGATGGTTCGGCATACGTAATACACGTCCCAACTAACACACCTGGTGCTGGGCACATTCTTCGATGAAATTCCCCGTTGAACAACCGAAAACCAGGTGCCTCGTTGGGAATTCTCCGACATCAACCCACAAGGGCTATATTCCTGAGAGAACGACTGCTGCTCGAAAAGGTCAAGTCTCAGCCGTACAACAAAACAGCCCGCACTGTAGCCTGATACACAATGGAGTGGAGGTTCAAGGATATACCTCTTTGACACCATAGATGTCTCAAATTAGCAAACCAGACCCGATCCTTGCAGATTCGTGCATTTACTTCATCTGTCACACTACAATCAGAACCAACTTCCAAGATGCATCAAACGTTCAACAACTTCGATTCCCTGCCTGGATCGTAAGTGATATGTTTAGTGACTGCATGTCCAGGACCATGAACTTACAACTTGTGAATAAAAAGTGCATGCCAAAAAACAGGATGGCACTGGTTAGTTCATCCAAGAAAACCCACGCCTTCTCTATTCGAAGACCAGAACGATATCGTCTGTATATTCCAGACTGACAAGGTTTTCGTCAGAGGCTATTTGATCACCGGGGTTTTGAAGACCTTCTAACGTTCGTCTCATCAGTTCATCGATCAGGAAATTAAATAGAAATGGAGAGTGAGCACTCCTGACGGACACTTTGTGTAGGGGAACTTTTGGAAAGCTCTCCGTTACTTTCACGCGTTTGGAAGTTTGAAAACACAAATCTACGTTCACAAACTTATGGGACATTTGTTGATGGGCAAGTGTTTCGGGAAGAACAAACCGGTCAACCGATTCGATTACGCCTTGGAAAAGCACGAGTGGTGAAATTGGGGATTATTTGTACGTATAGCGCTGTTCTAGCACCTGAAGGAGTGTGAAAATTTGGTCAGCACAACCCCTACCAGGCCGGAACCCCGCTTGCTGCTCTCGAGTCAACGTTTTATGAGCCACCATAAGGCGACGAAGCACAAGTGACGAAAACAGTCTCGTCACAAATGGGGTTAAACTGATCCCCGTGATTGCCACATTCAATACGAGCCCCTTTTTGAAAATAGACACTACCACCGACTATACCCTGTTATCTGAGACAGTCTTCTTTTCCCAAATGCACGCAAACAGATCAGACAAGCGCTGACTGAGGAATTCACCTCCATCTTTGAATAATGCGGGTGGGAAGTCATCCGGACGAGAGGCTTGGTGGCGCTTGAGAGAACATATGCATAAGACTCCATGACCGTAGGTGGTGCAATGCTCGCTGTCCAGGATTCTACGTCAACTGTGGGCTCCGGATGAAGGGCAGCAGGTAGCCACGATGATTGCCACTCAAAGTATGCGGCCAAACGGTCGAAGCATTCTTCTTTGCTCAAGACGGTCAGCCCATCCATCCTTGATGGTTTCGCTTAAAGATGTTTTCCGAACCAGCTGAAATAATCTTCTGGCATTTCCAGCTTTCTGAACCCCTTCTACTTCCTTGGCTTTCCGTGTCCACCAGACTTCACGGTCCGCTCGCACTTGACGCTTGACGATTCGTCGCGTCAAGTTAAGTTTGGGACAGGTTGGGATATTTTTCCGAGATTTAGGCAGTGCCACTGTTCGGTCTAATATCTGAGTGGGCCTACAAGTGGTTTGCCGCAGGCAAAGCTCCCAGCACTGTGCAAAGATGTGGTGATCTCGTCCCAGTATGAACTCACATATCATGGCTGAGCATTTGGAAGAAAACCTAGAAGACGATTCTGTTGAGTTGGTCTAACATCCGGATCTGTCAGTCTTTCAGTCGCCAGGCGATTTTTTGGCACCTTACACCGCCACGTAAAACAAAAGGAGAAGCGAATCCGGACGAGCGCGTGGTCAGAATATGCAAATATGTCCCAAAATGACCGGCCAAACGATCCAAAACGATTCGTGCCATTGGTAAATGATGGCAACTTGATCAACTGGAGTTCGTGACCGGCACACCGTTAGAGGACATGTGCTCAGACGACTTCGGCTTTTTCATAAAAACAGCATGCAGTCAGCACATAACTGAAGTAATCGTTTTCCATTGTCCGTACATACCGAATCCAGTCCACGCCGGTCTCCTGATTGAGTCTCAGATACGCTAGTTCTGCCAACTTAAGCATTTATATCTCCAGCAACCACAACTACATCTGAGCTTCCAGCTCGCTTCAAGAGGGTACTCAGAGCGTCATAATACTTGCCTTTGATGGAATCGGAGCAACAGTCAGTTGGAGCATAAGCACACACAACAGAAAGACACCGATCAACTTCCGGCTTGTGAGACTAGTTCACACACGTTTCCAGATGAACCGCACACTGATGACTACCAA